AAAAAAAAAAAAAAAAAAAGCACTGAAGGCTGAGAGGCACCCAGAAGTTGAGGGAGAGGGGAGATATGGGATGTCAGAAGGATCTCATTTGTCCTTCACAACCATTGACGGCATAAAGGTCAGAGTTGTTCAAAGTTCACTGAGCATTCACTATCTGTGGGGCGTTTAAACAGATCTCTTCAATTAAACTCTGCAGCACCTCTGTGAGATTGGCACAATTATTGTGCCCATTTTCCAGGTGGGGAAACCGAGGCTCAGAGAGGTGAGGAACTTGCCAGAGAGCCAGGATCAGACCCAGGTCAGTTTCAGCTGGAACCCTGCTCTTAACCGGCCGGAGTGAACAGGGAATCTGTCCCAGTAAAGAGGTAGCCTGCACCAGTACTCTTGAAAAACCAGGAATAGAGGAGGAAGCCTTCCAGTTTAGAAACTGCCCAGAGACTCCAGCCATCAATGCCTGAGCTCCCTCTGCCGGCAGTCACTTCAGTTAGGAAACAAACAGTTTGGCCTGGTCCCTGGTCCCCAAGGAGCTCTGGGACACACAGAGCCGGCCCAGCATGTGCGGCCTGTGTTCCCAGGGGTTTCCCTGGGTCGCCTGGTGTCTTCAGCCTGGAGGCTATGTGTCACCAACCAGTCACCACTGGCCTTATAGGCAGGGAGGAACAGAGTCCATACCCTGCCCTACTAGGGTCTCCACAATGCTGACCTTGGCTGCCAGCACAGCCCCCAGTGCCTGATAGGAAGTGGGCCTCCAGTGGTGGGGAGGAAGGGCATGCCAGGCTCAGAGCCATCTCCTCACAGGGTGGGAGCAGGGACACGGTGCAGAAAGACATAAAGGGCTACGTTGTTTCTGCCTGCCTGTGTGGTATGTGATCTAGACATATCAGAATCAGAGCAAAGCTCCCTGGCACAAGACTGGTTCAGGGAAGGCCATATAACCAAAGCCAGGCCAATGGCATTCCATTATGGAACTTTTGTTTAAAAAAATTCACGAGGGGCGCCTGGGTGGCGCAGTCGGTTAAGCGTCCGACTTCAGCCAGGTCACGATCTCGCGGTCCGGGAGTTCGAGCCCCGCGTCGAGCTCTGGGCTGATGGCTCGGAGCCTGGAGCCTGTTTCCGATTCTGTGTCTCCCTCTCTCTCTGCCCCTCCCCCGTTCATGCTCTGTCTCTCTCTGTCCCCAAAAAAATAAATAAAAAACGTTGAAAAAAAAAAATTAAAAAAAAAAAATAAAAATAAAAAAATTCACGAAAGAAAAGATGCTCTTCTGTTGGGTAAAATGAAATGTGAGGCTCTCAGGGAATAGCTGTTCCACTGATATAAGAAAGTCTATCTGAGGTCAAAGTGCAACGCATCCTTAGAGCATCTGGAACCAGCCATGCCCGAAGTCCACATGCATGAGCCAAACATCCCCTTCCATGCTTAATGCTGTGAATTGGGTTTCTGTCACCTACATTTGAAACAGTGTTCTGACTAACTGAAAGACACTGAACTGAGAGTCAGAAAGTTAGCTTATTAACTACCTAGGTGACCCTGGGCAAACCTCTATTTCCCCTGGGAAAATTATGGGAAGTCAGGGTGTTGGCTTAGAGGATTCAGACTGGAGAGGTCCACAGAGGTCACGGGATGGGGTGGGGTGGGGAGCCGGGCTCCAGGGCAGGTCCAGGGCCCTCTAATATTATGAACAAAATTAGACATATGTGTGCAACTTTCTGAGATGGCTCTCATCAGATTCTCAGTGTAGTCCCAAATGCTTGACATGATTCATATTCCAGGCTTTTTTTATAAGTAAATACATATAGAGGACTTCAACCAGTGCCTGTCACATGGATTCGATACATAAGGGCTACTGTTGTCATAGTTATCTGGTGGTAGTCTGTGGTTTTTGCTATTTTCTTTCTTCTTGATACCCCCAGAAATAACTCTTCTCTCCCCCTGACTTTTCAAATAGGAAATCTATATGCTCATAGCTCTATTTTGTTAATCTTCCTGGGACCAAGTCATCAAAAAGCTGGCATGCTATTTTCATGCATTCTCCTTCCCTTTGGTGGCAACTGTAGGGACCACGTGCTGGGGCAGTGGAACTACAAGACGGGAGTCGCCTGGATCCCTGAGCAGCCCCAGGGTCCCGGAGCTCTCACCCAGCTTTACTCAAGTGAGAAGTACACCTTTGCTGCATTGAGCTCCGGACATATTTGTTACAGCAGCACGTTCAGCCTTGCCTGACAAATATATACATCAAAGGACCACACTGAAGAGGAGATGAGATAATGCACAGCGCCATAAGCACGCATAAATGCTCAAATATTGGCAGATACTATCATTATGCCCTTTTCCTTGACCTCCAAGGGTATGTAGGCCTCACTGATTATGAGCAGAAGCAGGACCCATACCCCTAAGGACTCCTTGAGGCCTGGGGCCATAGAACACACCCAGACGAGCTGCCAACCTGTGACGTGTGGCACATTCTGTGGCAATATCCTCCAGGTGGAACTCAGCCCAGGGGTCAGGCATGTGCTTGGCCTTCTCAATTGCATGCTTCCAAGCTTCCTGCAAAAGGCAAAGGGAAGTGTTAGACCAGGGCCTTCTGGGGCAGGGCTGTCTAGCCACCTCCCACCCTGTGATTTCCTAGGTGTCTCCCACCTCTGGGGAGGCGGACAGCATCAGTGAGAGAGAAGTACTCCCAGCTATCATCCTTTGGGAACCAAGTTCCCAAAAGACCCTATTTTTTCTCAAGCGGGCATGGCCTTCCTGTGGGCAGAAGTGACATATCTTTTTTTTTTTTTATTAAGTTTATTTATTTTGAGAGAGAGAGAGAGAGAGAGAGAGAGAGAGAATCCTAAGCAGGCACAAAGTCCAACACAGGGCTCAATCTCATGAACCATGAGATCATGACCTGAGCTGAAATCAAGAGTCAGATACTTAACCAACCGAGCTACTCAGGCACCCGAGAAGTAACATATCTTAACCATGAAACCAAAGAAGAAACACAATACACAGAGGAAAACACACACTGCTTCACCTGCAACCAAAAAGTTGAAAATAAAAATAAGACACCAATCCCCTTCTCCCCCCTTGTTTGACTGGCAAGCATTTTAATTGCTGCTAATAATTAGTGCGGGCCAGTATGTAGGGGAAACAGGTGCCCTCACAAACGGTTAATGGCCTAAACGTCTTCTTAAGGCAACCTGGCAATGTACTGAGATGAAAAACTATGAATTCCTTTATTCTGACCCAGAAATTTTACATCGAGAAATGTGTCCTAGAGAAATACAAACACAAACCTGCAAACGTATATATACAAAGCGTCACTGTGTGCAAAACCAAATCCAACCCAAATGTCCATCCGTGGGGACTGGTTAAATGTATTTTGGTTTTATCCACTTAAAATGCTCAACAGCCCTTCCAAGTGAGTGCACTTACCTACTGGTGGGAATCGTGGACCCTATCAGGGCCAACGTCACCTTTTTATAAATATTGTATAAATCATAAATATGCCCCATTTTACCACCCTAAAGGAAAATCATAGACAACATAACCTTCCTAAACTCAGAATATCTCCAACCATGCCAAAGATATGTTGCCTTTACGTAAACATTGTGCTAAGTTCTGGGCTCAGACAGATTCCCATGAGACATTCCAAGGTCCTGGGGATGCAGGAAAATTCATTGCACAGAACTGTTCTGCCCATTTCAAACTTTTACCATCCATGCCCTCCACCTACTCAGTGCCTTAGTGCCCCTAAATCATTGTGGGGACCAAAAATGTCCCCCCAAACTTTTAAAACCTGTCGAAAAACAGGGTTTTTGGGTACTCACTGGGAAGGATGATATTACGGAGATAAGGCTGATTCTCAACAGTATCATGACACAACCCTGTTTTTTGTTTTATTATTTTTAATTTAAAAAAAAGTTTACTTATTTTTTGAGAGAGAGAGAGAGAGATAGTGCAAGTGGGGGAGGGGCAGAGAGAGAGGGTCACACAGAATCTAAAGCAGGTTCCAGGCTCTGAGTTGTCAGCACAGAGCCTGACATGGGGTTCAAACCCACGAACTGTGAGGTCATGACCTGTGCCAAAGTCAGACGCTTAACCAACTGAGCCACCCAGGCACCCCTTGTTTTTTGTTTTAAAAACCTCATTTTATGGGCACCTGGCTGGCTCAGTCAGTACAGCGTGCGAGTCTTGATCTCAGGGGTTGTGGGTTTGAGCCCCACACTGGGTGTAGAGATTACTTTAAAAAATAATAGTAGGGGCGCCTGGGTGGCGCAGTCGGTTAAGCGTCCGACTTCAGCCGGGTCACGGTCTCGCGGTCCGTGAGTTCGAGCCCCGCGTCAG